CACTGGTGTGGGTTAGAAGCCAATACACAGAGAGGATATGGGGGGAGGGAGAACATACGGAGCGTTGATGACGCCGACCATGCCGTTCTGGCAATGCTGGCCGGTGGCACAGTAGTACCACTTGGGGTTGGTGTCCTGGACGGTGACGCTGAAGACCTGGTCGGAGACGCCGCTCTGGACGCGGACGGGGCCGCTGAAGAAGCCGGTCGTGTTGAGGGGCTGGCAGGGCGAGTCGAAGCTCGACTGGGCGACCGAATGGGCCTGGGGCCAGAAGTGGAACTCAACGACGTCGCCGACGGCGGCGGTGACCTCGGCGGGCTCAAAGGTGAGGCCGTTCTCGCCAACCTTGACGACGTGGACACCGGGGATGCTGGCGCCTGAGGAGGCGGCGGCAGCCTGAGCGGCGGCGGGGGGGGCACCGCTGCTGCTGCCGTAGGCTGCCATGGCGGCGGGGAGGAGGGGGAGAGCGAGGAGTGCGGAGGCGTGCATTTTGGTTGATGTGGGTTGGTGAAGTTAGAGTTGGAGGGTATAGAGGCCTGAGGATGTGAGACGGTAGGTAGATGATGGTGTAGTTTGATTGAGATGGTTGATTGGGCTGATGAGAGGAGAGAGAGGCAAACAACTTTGGATGGCGGCATCCATCCCCTCTTTATGTATCCCATCTCGACAGCTCCATGTCTGTTAGGTTTGGTCCGACCTGGGCATGGCGTGCCGGCCAAGTCAACCGATGGTTGCGAGTCGCGACTCGAGCAGTATCAGACCCTGAAGCCGTGGGCCAAAGCCAGAACCAGGGCGTCGTCGAAGCGCTGCGCACCCATGCTCGCCTTGGTCCTCAAACAGGGGTGCCGCACGAGGCGCGGGTCCCAAACAAGGCCAGGGGGGAATCGGATCGGGTAAGGCGGCGGATTGGACAAACCAAGATGGGCAGATGAACCTATCATGGCGAAGAGGGTCAGGCTTACGCATGCTGAGGTTCATTGTTGGCATCAGCGCTCAGGCGGTCGCCAGGCGGCTTGTCAAGGGGTCATGCTGTGTCAAGTGTGTCTGTGAAGGTGTCAAGCCTTCTCTGGGGTTGCGTCCGCAGGCGGAGGAGGGGTCATTGGGGTGGGTCGGGACGACTATTATGGATGGATGATTGGCCGAGGCAGCCGGCAGTAACAAAGTCTAAAACATCCCAAGATCCAGGTTCGCGTGGGTCGTCCGAAGGGCAGCTGCGGCCAATGGCTGCCTTCCCTATCCAGGGGGAAGCTTCCCCTAACGGCAACCGGCACGGCTCCAGCGCCGGCAGCACCTGCAGCACCTGCAGCACCTGCAGCAGCTTCCTTCCCAGCTTCCTTCCCAGCACCTCCCCAGCACCTCCCGAGCACCTCCCCAGTGTCTCCCCAGCACCTCCCGAGCACCTCCCTAGCACCTCCCGGCACCTTCCCAGAACCTCTCAACACAGCCTCGACGCTAACCCCCCAGCAGCAACAGAGCAGGAACCACTAGCACTTGCGGGGGAACTGTTTCTTCCCCTTCCCTGACTAGCCATTCGTTCAGCACCCAGCAACACGGCCCAAGGGCGAACAATCTCTCCGGTCTTGTGGGTTTTCTTCATGATGCCCAAGCTCAGTCACGATGCCAAAGCAATAGTCATCGGCCTTGGCCCTCTTCGGCCTCTCTGCTGCGCCTGCTAGACCTCAATTTCCCGACCCTCATAACCCAGATCATTCCTCAACACCACCAATCTCACCCGCCACCTGCCCAGATCGGCCTCTCTCACGATGCCGCCAACGCTGTCCCTGACTCGGCCGCGCACCAGTGCATCCCAGAGCGACCTACTCCCCAGCCTGCCTCGGCGGCCTCCCACCCCTACCTCTATCTGGAAAAGGCTGTTGTTGCTCATCTCACCTCGGATGGTCTGATGGTGTTGCGTCGTTCGCGCCAATGCATGCACATGCAACCCGCCCCGGCTCCGCCTCAATTCTTGACCTCCCGGCATCTAAACTTTCCGGTGCCACATGTGAATGCCGTTACGCGGCCAAGCTTTCCCAACAGCTCGCCTGCTTCCTCCTTGGTGAGGACACGCCGGCCCCGTCACAGCATTTTGCTCCCGACTCTTTGTCCAGCAAGGGAGGCTGCTGACATATCCCTACGTCCTTTTCGCAATAAGGTTCAGCGTCGTGAGTCGTCATCGCAAACGGGGGTGCTGCTTCTCGTTGTTCGTCCTGCATGGTACAAGTTCCTCCGATGAGGTTGCGTCAGCTTGCGTCTTGCTATCTCCGAAGCTGGAATGATGCTGGTGCCCTCTGTTCTGCACGTCTCTCCCTGCCCTCTCCTGACCCTGAGGATCAGGCCTCGGCTCCTGACTCTCGGTTGCTGCCGAAACGATCACCGATTGATGTGTGATCCTTGGGCAATCATCATGGCCATCTTGTTTACAACAACAACAACAACAACAGCAGCAGCAGCAGCAACAGATTTCAGAACACTTCTGGCGCCAGCCAAGACGATCTGCGTCCACACATCCTCTGGCCTTCCGCCGCATGCTTTGACAGATCGCCACGGGGACTCTGTTTCTCGTGAAAGAGAAGAGGAGCAGGAAACGGAAACTCCTGTTTGATGTGCTGGTGCTCAAACCAGAGGCTGCCGGCTCGGAGATCCTTGCATGCTGACCCGGCATGACACCCGTAGATCAAGCGGGTTCGGGAGCGTCGGGTGCATAGACCCGTCCAAAGTCGAACCTCGTTGTCCCGCAAGCATCCCAGGCTCCTTGGTTGGATCGTTCCTACTGCCTCCAAAGTCTGTGTATCGGTCCGGCCAGATGGACTGAACCGGACCCATGGACTTAAGTTTAAGTCATATACTGGCATCGCTCTCAAACTTAGGCTAGAACCAGCGCTGGATGTTCTGGTGTGCAACCTTCCTGGCAGGTCCAGGGCCGAGCCTTTGCTTTCCTTGCCACGTACACATGCAGAGTAATAGTATGGCTACCAAGCACCGCTACAACGTATTTCAGATATCTGATCACAGCAGCTCTCAACTTTGTTTCCCACCCCACGATCATTTCTCCAGACCAGTAGGCAGGCTCGACGCAGAAGGTCTAACGAACAAACAGCACACTTCATCAAGATTACAGCTTCAAGATGGGTGTGCAAGGAAGCGCTCGAACAGGCACGTCCATTCAGTGTGGATCATGTCGACACAATATCTTCCAGGTCACCGATCGTTGCTTCTGTGGTTTGTGAGTTCAGCCTAGATGATGACCCCGCTCCGCCTACAACGCGACTGGGCTGGCTGTTGCCCGCGGATGCCGGTGCGATACTTTCCTCTTTCGATTGATGACTTCGACGCGCAAGACTTCCCAGCAGGGTCGAAGACGAGGTAGCAAAATACTGCTCTGTCGCCGCTTCAGCTGGGACGTGCTTCGCATCACCAGAGTTTTCCACTTTCCAATGGATGTCGGCGCTCGTGTTCACGTCGCCGTAGAACTTTCCTGACAGAGCGGCGAGCCTCTATCATCAGCAGTAGGAATACCCACCCCGCCTGATCGACCTGTCCACCTCTTCTCCTATTACAACGCCAAGACTTTGAACTCTTTTTGCGTCCAATGCCGCTGACTGTTCAGGTTTATTCACTGCTCTATTGCCAAGCATCAGGCACGGGCTCTTCCGCTGTTAGCGTGATGTCCTGCGTAGGTTTCCCATTCTTCTGGTCTGGTTGCATCACCTCTGGGACTGGTGGCCCTACCAGACTCGCGCCGAAACCTGAGCCAATGATCGACCTATTTCTCCCCATCATCACCCCGTGGGATATATTTACGTGCCAGTCCCTGTAGAAAATGACATTACGGATTCTAGACTTCGTTGTTACTCAGTAGTCTTGATCACAAAGACGCAGTTCTTTGTTCATGCTGCAGCTGTCGTGTAGAGCGCTTCCTTGCAACAGCACGCTAGTTCTGGGCAGAATGAAATGACTGCGTTCCAAACGGAGAGGCAGACTTCGATTCGGCTCCCTTGTAGCAAGATGTTGACAAGAGTTTGTGCGACTCCATGTCAATGAACGTTAGCCAACATTGCGGGAGCGGAGCAGACCAGACTTGGCGAGGGACTTGCTAACCCGAACCCTTACCTGGGAAACGCCGTCGCCCCAATTCAACGTCTCTTCCGCATGGTCCCTCACAGGCTGATTTTCTGATTTACCCCTATTTGAGTCTTTCATTTGTGTCTGAAGCTCGAGGGGGAGGGTGCGATCTGTTTATGAAGACTGATCGAGTGCGCGGCTGCATCGCGGGCAGGGGCTGGGAATTTTCGTTCGACGCGTATTGCGTCGATCATGTCTTTGAAGCCACATTGGTCGAATACTCGACATGAAGTTTGTGCTTGTTCAAGGCATTTGACCTCGGACGTGTTCAGCAACGTGATCTTCTACCCGGGCTCCTGGCTATAGACTTCTGCCTTCGGCTTACGCATGGCTTGGTCTGAACGAGATTTAGAAAATCAAGAGTCAATAGCAATGCTCTTCCCGGAGATGACGTGACATCTCATGTCGACAATCAAATGCATGTATGTCCCTCAGCGTCAAGTCTTATATATATATATTTTTTTTTGTGTTTTGCGTACACAAAAAGTTAAGACTAATGATCGAGCAAGAATGAGAGAAGAAAGATGAGAAAAATTCAAAACAGAAGCAACATGAGGCCTGTCCACTAGATTCGCTTGATTTTTCATTCTCGGCAGTGCTGCGAAATTCGGCCGTGAAGACGACGACGCCAGTGGACATCGACCACCATCGTTCCCGACCCCGTTTCAAACAACCTCAGCATCCAGAACGCCGTCAAGTACAACCGAGCTTATCAGGGCCGGCAATCCAGCGTGAAGAAGTCGAAGGCGGAATAGCACCACTTCAGTGAACCAGATGTATTCTTCTAATGAAATCGACGGCCAATTGCAAGCGGCAAGCCACGAGGCGTCCGTAGGACAGAAAACAGAAACACGCTCAATAGCCCACGCAGACATCCATCAGCAGGGGCAGGGGAAGACGCAGAAGTTGCAGGGAATCGGGCACGGGATGATGAAGCAGAACCGTCCCGGACACGCCTCGCCGCCGCGCAGCGTGAGCTCTGCATCGTCGGCGGAGCGGTCTTCCTGCGACCCTTGGGGCTCTTGAGCGTCTGGGCTCGCCATGTTAGCCAAGATGCAAACGGGGCGATGTTGTCATGCGCGCGCGCGGCGACGAAATGGAGAGCTCACTCATGGCCATGGCGTCCTGCGACTTGGGCTGCTCAGTGTGCACTGGCGCCGGGGCGCGGGGCATGCTTGATTGGTCGGACATGTTGGAAAGAGGAGATTGATACAAGAGGATGTTCGTGGTGATGAGAGATGCGATGATGCGATGTCGTGGTTCAGGAGAATGCGATCTTGATGAGCTTGGCAGGATGATGGAAGGCTGGGGCTGAGGGCGGTCGTTGGCTGATGGCTGTGCTGGCTGAGCTCCGCCTCACTGCGACGTCATCGATGGCTGGGGCTCGAGTGGCTTCACCTTGGCTCACCGAAAACGTCGGGCGGAACACAATAACACTATTAGATCACTGTCGAGCACGAGGATCTCACTGACAGAATATAGCCCGCAGCTCAAAATCGAACATCCATTTTCACCCCGAAAGCTCTCCGTCAATATAGATCTTGACCTTCTCATTATAGAAACACAGCATACCGGCGATCGCCGCGCATTCGATGGTCGGATGCCGATAGTACCAGACCAAGTCTTCCAAGGTTGTTTCATGATTGAGTCGGACATTGTAGTAGCTTGCGATGCCTTTATAGGGACACTCGGTCACTGTGTCTGACTTCAACAACTGCGCAGACCCTTGGACCACGGCTGTGTAAGGGATGTAGTAGCGCGTTGGGAGGCGGCTCTCCAGCAAGTGGACCGAGTAGGGAGACTCGGCGAGAAGTCGACCGTCATACTCGATACGGATCTTGCGCCCGGAATGGAGGAGCTCAACGCGCAGGTCGGGGTTCTTTGGATGAACATAGATCGGCGTGTCTTCCTCGAGCCACTGATCTGTGTCGCAAACGGGTCGCGTCAGCTGGGTTAGAGAGGCTCATGGGCGGTCGAGGCGGCAGAAGGGGAGAATGAAAAACAGAGCGCACCCACCCATACTCCCAAACTCGAAACGAACAAGATTCTGCAGTGGCCCACGGTCGTGGCTCATTCTGAGCCTCATTACGCTCCTAAACGGGAGCCCAAAGGCAGGACGATCTTCGCGAAGCAAGTCTACGCCTTGCACTTCAATGACATTGAAGCTGAATACTTGCCCGGTGGCAACTCCATCCGAGGCGACGACGGGACCGACGTTGGATGAACGAATGTTCATCAAGTCATCTTCAGGGATGTAGTATTGCGGATACGCCGCATGTTCCCACGCGAGCAACCCTCTCCTCGAGTCGGCAATGGTGCTTCCATGATGTACGACACGAATTCGACGTGTTGCTGGTTCCGTGCGCAGGAACCCGTGCACGAGGAGATAGAGCCCGAGTTGGTGCAAGCTGTAGATGTCAGTCGAGCAGGCCTCGGTGCAGGCTTCAACTACAACGCTCACTCGCAGCCCTGAGCTCCAACCTTGACCGTATCCGTCTTCATATCGGCGACAGGTTCCGCCATTTGATGCACTCTTTGAAGCAGATTATGCGAAGATACAACCAGAAGGGGGCTGCAATGCTCCGCCAGATGCAGCCTTCAAGTGTGACGATGGATAAGTTGACATCCCAAGCAATCTCTCTGTTCATGGCCAATCGCGCTCAGAATCTCGAATTGGCGATGGAAGGTCAGGTGATGGGGGACGTGCATAACCAACTCACACTGAATGCCCGCGCCTTTCCAAGATACACCCATCGATCACTGGGACTTGATGGTGACACAAACTATCGCAGCCATGACTGATTCACGACATGCTCTATCCCAAAATCAACGGACCGTATCGTGAATTGGTTCACGACGATACATCCGCTGGTAGCGCGTCCGAGGTAGTCTGCCTCACGAGCCAGCCTCACACACCTGAGTCACTCGGCGGCGACGACTCACAACAAGAGGCATCCAAGCACCAACTCACTTGAGGAGTCTACAAAAGCTTCACGCCCCAAAGGACCAGCCATAATCATGTCGCGTCCCATCTTCCTCTCAATACTAAAATTTCCATTCAGGATCCCTACCAAGCTCCCTTTCGCAAAAATGACAACCACACACAACCCCGTTGGGGCGACCCAAGCCTCGCCATCCTCATCACTGCCCCTCCCCTCCACACCCGTCTACTTCTGGCGCGAGACAGACCCGGACTCGGGCTTCCTCTCCCAATGGGCCCCCTCCCCGTTCCCGCACCCCGCCAACCCGTCCCTCGTCTTCCGAACCGCCGAGCACTACATGATGTACCGCAAGGCCGCCCTCTTCGACCCGTCCCAGGAGGCCGCCATCCTCGCCGCGACGCACCCGCGCCAGGTCAAGGCTCTCGGGCGCAAGGTCAAGAACTTTGACGCCGCGACGTGGGAGGACCGGCGCGAGGCCATCGTGACGGAGGGCACGAGGCTCAAGTTTACGACGGGCGCCGGGGCCGCGGAGCGGAGACGCCGGCTGCTGGCTACGGGCACGGGGGAGCTGGTCGAGGCGAGCCCGTTTGACCCCATCTGGGGCGTCGGGTTTGCGCCGCACGTTGCCCCGACGGTCGATCGGGAGGCGTGGGGGCTTAATCTGCTGGGCAAGGCGTTGATGGTCGTGAGGGACGAGTTGAGGGCGGCGGAGGGTCGGGCGGGCTGACTGGCAGGGAAAGGAAGGCAGGATGCTGGGGAGGAGGGGACGTCTGCGAACCAGCAGTATGAACTCTAGAGACCAAGATGCTGTTGAACATTGTACCAAAATTTGAACGCAAGCAACTTCGTCTCAGGCAAGCACATGAATATCAGATTCAGGTTTGGCTCAAAGGGTCGTTCCACCGAACGGCCTGGACTGGTCGCACTGACTGAACATTGTGAACCATGTGCTGCGACCCAGGACGTCAAACGGACGTCTGGCATCTTGATTAAAACAAACTGCTCGGCAGACGGCAGAGCCCTTGCCAGGTGTCTCGCAGGCTATTCAATATTCGTACAAGGTAGCCTCCTCGAGGCGAGAGCGGTGTTGGTTCTCCCCGGCCGCAGACCGCAGGCGGCAAGACTCCGCAGATAGTTGGTCCTTCTGTCTGTTTTCTTTCTCCTCCTCTCTGTGTCTGCATCGGCATCTGCTTTCTCCCAGAAATCGCCTTGTATCCCCCTCCAAAATGCCCCCGGTCTAGTTTTTTGTACATTATTGAAACATCAGAATGACAGAAAGTGTCACATCCAATCGCCAGCGTATGAGAGTGTTGGTGATCGAGCCGAGCCGAAAAAAGACAGGGCCGGCTCAGCGTCGATGATGGTGGTTTTCCCGCTTAGTAGTAGTCGCGTCCGCTCTTCTGCATCTCGATGAGCCTCCATCCCCTCGTCTCCGGGTTGCTGACATCGTCGGGCAGCCTTGTGATGCCGATGGCGTACGTCACCAGCTGCACCTTGTCCTCCATGCCGGCCGCGAGCTCGTTGGTCTTGGCGTTACGGTAGACGTGCACCTCCTGGGTACGGCAGGTGATGACAAACACGGGAATGTCGCCGGGCTCGAGCATGCGCGCCTTGGCGATATCGACGTGGCGGATATCGAGGATGCGGCCGTCTGACTTCATGCCGGCCTTGAGGTATTGCTTTGTGAGAGCGTCATAGACGGAGTACTGCGCCTCCGAGAGCCACAGCTTCAGGGTTGGGACGTCACCCTTGACGTAGGCGTCGAGGACCTCGGGAAGAATGTATTCGCGCAGCTCCGTGAGGAAGGGCTCCATCTTGAAGTTGGGATCCATCTCGCGGAACTTCTTGATGACCTGAGCCTGCTCGTTCTCGGCGAACCAACCACCGATGGTGTCGGTGATGCTTCGTGCTGTTGAGATGAGGGGGTTCTCGGACTCCTGGTAGACCTTGCCAGCGCTGAAGAAGCCCTGGACAACCTTGTTCTGGTCGCGGAAGTCTCTCCACGCCTCCTTCCAGGCAGCGTCCTTGTGAAGCGTGACGTTTGTGCCAGCCCTGTGACTGGAGTTAGCGAAATTCACGAGTTGGAAATGCGGAGGATGCCAGCGTACTCAGGGTCCTCAACAAAGTTCTCCGGCGTCTCGCCCCTGAGAGCCCTCTCAGCCTCACGCTTTTGCCTGCGCTCCTCCTTCTCTACCCAGCCGCCGTAACGCGAAGAGCTGCCATCATCAATGACATCTTTGACGTTCTTGTAGGCCTCGGTCTCACGGATGGGCTTGGTCGCCTTGTCGAGGGCATCGCCGGTGACGTTGGCGACCTTGCGAACACCCTTGACGGCGCTCGTGTCCCAGGTCCACGCAGCGCCCTTGCCAATGGCGCCGGCCGTCGTCTTGACAACGGTCGATGTTGTCTTGCCGATGGCGCCCGTGGTGGTCTGGTAGGCCTCGCGGGCCTTGCGCACGCGCTCGCTCTCCTGGAAGGTCTGGATCTCGCCAGAGAGGGCCTTGGTCGACTCGTTCCACTCCTTGGACTTCTTGAGCTCCGTGTTCATCGTCTCCATGAAGACCTGCCACGGTGTCATGTCACCGTGGGGCGGAGGCGGAGGGGCGTCCTCCTTCTTCTTCTCCTCCTGCTTGCCATCGCCCTCTTCGCCCTCCTTCTTCTTGTCGCCGGACGAGGCGCCCTCCTTGTCGGCTGACTCGGAGGACTTGGTGTTCTCCTCCTCGGCGGCCTTGGAAGCTTCCTCGGCAGGCTTCGTCTCAGCCTGGGGCTTCTCTTGTTTTTGCCATGTCGGCGTCGCTACGTGGAAGGAGCGGGCTGGTGTGGCAGAGATGAGGGGTCGGATCTCATGGGGAAGGAAGGATGATCGAAGAGTAGTAGGGCGAAGAGAGGAGGAGGAGGAGAGCTGTTGAGAGGAGGATTGTTGGATGCGGATGGAGGCGAGGCTGTCGGTGGACTGGAGACGATATGTCTGGGTCCTGCCAGTCGCAGGGGCGCTGCTACGAGCAGATGCCCTTGTCAGAGCATTAGGCGCGACGCTCCGTGAAGACCGGGCAAAAGAGTTCATGATGAAGTAAAAGCGTTCCGCCTCCCAGGTATGGGTGTTTGCGATGCGCAGGATAGGGAGGGGGCAGAGACGACTCGGTCGGGAGCGGAGAGGCAAGTACCTTAGACCGGGTGAAATTTGGCCGGATCAAAATTTGGGGCGCGACGAGGATTTCTGCGATCTCGGCTCCAGGCGGGCCGCGGCGCGGGCAGGGGGTCGAAGGTCGTGGAAGGGGACCCTAAAAGGAGGTATCTAGGTACCGTTGCTATTTAGCCGTGCTTCAGCCGGCTGAGGCCAGGACCACCAGCGACAGGACGTCCACCCCTGAAGTGGGCCAATCGGGACATGGCGTGCCAGGAAGCTGTTCGAAAAAATCCAGGTCACTCAAGCAGTATCGACGACTGGCCCTCCTTGACGCCATCCACGATCTGAACATCGACACATATCGGCGGCAGTGCAGCATCGTCTGTCGACCACACCCATAATAAAAATGAGCGGCCCTTCAGCAAGCCGCTTCCTCGCGAGGACGGCGTTCCAATCCATCGCCCGTCCCACCTCCATAACGCGATGCTCTCCCTCTCTCTGTCGGCCTCTCTCCCAAACCCCCAGCCGACGCGCCGATGACGCTCCCACGACAAAAGCCGGCTCCGATCTCCTCTCCTCTCTGTACGGCGCGCCCAACTCCCCGGCCGCGAAGCCCTCGACCCCCGCAGCGGCATCCGCAATCGCCGCGGGCCCGACCGACTCGAGCATGATGAACCTCTTCCGCAGCACCCTCGGCAAGGACGAGCAAAAGCGCACGCCCGCCGGCCTCGGCAGTGGCAAGGAGGGCTTCGGCGAGATCAAGGAGGAGGCCCTCGACGCCCTCGAGCCCTTCCACCTGCACATTTACTCGCACAAGCACAACACGCACGTCACCATGTCCAAGCCCGACCGCGGCGCCATCGTCTCCATGTCGTGCGGCAACATTGGCTTCAAGAAGTCGAGGCGGAAACACTTTGACGCCGCCTACCAGCTGACGGCCTACGTCTTTGAGAGGTTACGCTTCGCCGGCTGGGACAAGAAGATCAACCGCATCGAGCTCGTGCTGCGCGGCTTCGGACAGGGCCGTGATGCCGGCGTCAAGTGTCTCATGAGCCCCGAGGGCGCCGTGTGGAGGCAGAAGGTCGTGCGCGTGGCCGATTCGACGAGGCTCAAGTTTGGTGGCAGCAGGAGCAAGAACCCCAGGCGTCTGTAAGAGCGTCGGGCGCGTGTTGCAGCATGGTAGAAACGCGGGCGCAGGACGACTGGTAGTCGGGAACGGATGGACAATCAAATGTACAATACGTGTACAGCTGTACTATATACCAAAGAATTCAAAGAACTGTTTAGGGTGTTCTGGTTCCCCATTTCGCTCCCCCCACGCAACGCCGAACATGAAGGAAAGGTAACAAAAACAAAAACAGAGAACGCCAGCCTGATCTCGCCCACTGTGGTATCAAGGACCCGGAACGCCATTCACTTTGTATCCCCTCCCCCAAGTAGAAACCCTGTGCCCTGAATCACCATGATGTTATGGCCTCGGGGCTCTCTCTGATGCCGGCAATGTCCGACCGGCTTGATCCCGTTCAACTTGCTTTCCCTTGCCGCTGCCTCCGTGCCGTCTGTCGTCTTCGCTTCCCCATCCCGACTCTTGTCCCTCCTCGGGGCGTGGTTCACCGTGGAACCTAGGTGGGGACTGCTTGAGCATACGAGACCCTTCGTGCGTCCCGTCGTCCTCGTCCTCGTCCTCGTCCAGGAGCTCGCCGTCGACCATGTCGTACTCGGGCGGGTCGATCCATTCCCTCGGCACGACACAGGGCAGCGCAACGCCAATGCTGGCCGCGCGATTCAGCCAGCCAGGCCCGCTCTGGCCCGTCAGCTTCAGGCAGAGCTCCGACGTGAAGTGGTTGCAGTTCCGCGTGAGGAGGTTGTACGAGGTGCCCTGGAACTCCTTGGACACGTCGTCGAGGATCTTCTCAATCTCTTCCTCGGTCATAAAGGTGAAGCCGTGCAGGATCTCGCACTTGAAGGTGCCGCCGGGGGGCTCGGTCTTGGGGCTCGTCCAGTAGACGCCGGTCATGCCGCGGCGGTCGTGGCCGCCGTAGGCGTATTCGCGGCCGTTGATGACGACGCCGGAGTGGAGGAGGGAGGCGCCTACGGACCACAGGACGGTGGATAACCTCCCGGGCTGCATCTGTCAGTCCATGTACATGATGTGGATGTGCAGGCGGAGCAGAGGGTGGCGCATCGGGCTTACCGGCAGCAGGTCATAGACGTGAATGGTGACCTCGGTCTTGGTGAGGGACAGGGTTGATCGATGACGATTTGTGGATTGTCTTGCCGAGTTGGAGCGTTGCGGGCGAGTCGGAGGCATCTTGGGGGGTTCACAGTGGGTGGTAGGATGCAAGGAGGAACTGGCGATGCTGTTTCCTTGAAGCTTGGGGTGGAGGCCAACTACCTAGGTGCTTTAGGTAGGTAGGTAGGTACGCAAGGTGGAAGACGACGAAACGAGCGGGGCAATGGAGCGGGATCAGGCACAAAGATGAGAATCAGGATGAGCGTTTGTCAAAAAAAAGACGAAGGCTATGTACAACGGCTTTGGGTGAAGCCGGAACGTAGGGAAAGGGTCGGCTGATCTGGATGCGGAACACAAGGTGATGTAGGGTATTGGAGGTTGTTTGCGATGTCAAGGCTTGGATGCTGTCAGATGGCGCAGATGCGATGCGATGCGACCTTGTGACATGGGTCAGCAAAGCTCACGCTGGGAAGCTGGACGCAGGCGTGGTGAGTGACGACAACGGGGACGCGGGGTGACCTGGCCTGCCTGGCTGCATCCGGGGGCGGCATGGCACTGGAGCGCCCTGAAGCCCGCTAGAGCTGCCTGCACCAGAGCTGGTGACGGGCTTCAAGGCGGCCGGGGAGCAGGTTCCTCCAGGCGCCGGAGGGCTTCCTCAGTCCTCAGGCAGGCCGGCTTACCTCATCAGGGCAGCTGCAGCAGCGCCCAGGGTAGAGCTGCACACTTTGGTGGGGCACCGCAGGAAAATCCAAAGTCAAGATTCGCGCCCTCTGCCGCAAAAATTCTCTCCTCTGCCTTTTTTCCCTCATCCTGCCCATCACTGCACCAGGCTTCTCCCAGCCCAGATACCCAATCCCCTCTTTTCCTCCCCCCCCTCCTCTGGGTAAAAGGTACCCTACGCGGCCGCCAACTGGGGGACGGGTTCACACGGTTTGCGGCTGGTCACACCAGCCAGCCAATCCTTCACCACGACGTCCCTCCTCGCGCCCTCCCTTCCCTTCGCTTCTTTTTTCCCCCCTTTACACCCACGCGCAGCTAGCTCTGCTTTTCGTTACTGTACCGGCAACAGTTTCAGTCACCCCTCACCTTCAGTGCTTCGTTGCACTGTTTTGTATACCCCCTCCCGTTCCTACGCAAAGAAACGAGGATCCAAGATGCCTCCCAAGAAGCAGGTTGAGGAGAAGAAGATTCCCCTCGGCCGCCCTGGCAACAGTCTGAAGAGTGGAATTGTACGTTGTCCCCCCCCCATCAACCACACCACCCTGCCGCCGTCTGAAGCGAACCCCGCGCCTCCCACCATTTTTTTTTCCCCCTTTCCCTTGTACCCCTCCAAGCTTCGAGGCTGACCCCGCGATCCTCACAGGTCGGCCTTGCCAACGTCGGCAAATCCACCCTCTTCCAGGCCATCACCAAGTGCAACCTCGGCAACCCTGCTGTAAGTCTCTCTGCTGTCCCCGTCGCCCCGTGGACCTCCAGGCTCATTGATTGACCAAGGTGTAGAACTTCCCCTACGCCACCATCGACCCCGAGGAGGCCCGTGTCATCGTCCCCGATGCGCGCTACGACTGGCTGTGCGAGAAGTACAACCCCAAGTCTCGTGTCCCCGCCAACTTGACCGTCTATGACATCGCCGGTCTGACCCGCGGTGCCTCGACCGGTGCTGGTCTCGGCAACGCCTTCCTGTCCCACATTCGTGCCGTCGATGCCATCTTCCAGGTGGTGCGCTCCTTCGACGATGCTGAGATTATTCACGTCGAGGGTGACGTCAACCCCACGCGTGATCTGGACATCATCAGCGAGGAGCTCCGATTGAAAGATATCGAGTTCGTCGAGAAGGCTCTGGAGGCCCAGAAGAAGAAGACTCGCTCTGGCGGCCAGAGTCTCGAGATGAAGAAGATGATTGCCGAGCAGGACACCATCCAGAAGATCATCGACTGGCTGAAGGACGGCAAGGATGTCCGAAAGGGCAACTGGTCCCCCAAGGAGGTAAGCCGCAGACCATTTTTCTTTTCTTCCCTCGCAAAACGAGCCATCCCCTGGCGACTCGCATGATGATAAAGGACCCGAGGTCCGACTTATAACCCAGCTCGTCGAATGCCTCACAATAAACGCAGAGTGCATACTGAGATAAAAAATCATACTGACTTTCGAGTCGCAACACCTCTCATGATATTGGTTCACGGATTGTATCGAATGATCACTGACAAGAAGCTCTTTCAGGTCGAGGTCATCAACCCTCTCTTCCTCCTGACGGCCAAGCCTGTCGTCTACCTCGTCAACCTCTCCGAGCGTGACTATGTCCGCAAGAAGAACAAGCATCTCCCCAAGATCGCCGAGTGGATCAAGGAGAACGCCACTGGCGACCCCATCATCCCCATCTCCGTTGCCTACGAGGAGCGCCTCAGCCGCTTCGAGACTGAGGAGGAGTCCCTCGAGGAGCAGAAGAAGGTCGGTGCTGACTCGGCCCTTCCCAAGCTCGTCATCCAGATGCGCAAGTCTCTCGACCTCGGCAGCTTCTTCACGACCGGCACGGACGAGGTCAGGCAATGGACCCTGCGCAACGGCACCAAGGCCCCTGGCGCCGCCGGTGTTATTCACACCGACTTTGAGAAGACGTTCATCCAGGCCCTCGTCTACAACTTCTCCGTGCTGAAGGAGCTCGGAGACGAGTCCGAGGTCAAGGCCAAGGGCAAGGTCATGACCAAGGGCAAGGATTACGTCGTTGAGGATGGTGACATTTTGCTCATCAAGGCCGGCGCGGCCAAGGCGTAGACGTTTTCATGACGAACATGAGACGCGAAAAAGCCGATTGAATGAAATTGATGAAGACTACAACTTGTCTCTTTTTTTGGTGAATGTGATTATTTATGCTTGGACTGGTGCTCCCGAACTGAAGCAGTGTGAGATCCCATTGGCGGCTTACAAGGTGTCTTCCATCCCAGACGACCAGCGCCACATCGAGCATCAGGTATCGTGCGCCTGGAAAGCATCAGAAGCCAGGCCCGCCATCCGTCCATGGCTTCCCCACATACTCAGACTTCTCCCCGACACACGTATCCCGCAGCGCAGCCTTCGCCTCGGCACTGTCCGCCGCATAACACGGCAGATCCCCCGTGTCGCCCGTCACGCCGTCACAAATGGCAATCGCAGGCCCGCCGCACGGCGACCGCACGGCAAAGTTGCGGAAGCGGATATTGTCGCACACGGCGTCGGGGCTCGTCGAGCACGTCAGCTTGGCGACGGCACGGCCGCGGATCCCGCGCGTCGAGCCCGTAAAGTTCTCAAAGAGGACGTTGGTGATGGACATGCCGGCCGGGTATGCCTCGCAGGTCTGGGCATTGATCTGGTTTGTTCCTGTCAGATGGGGGCTTCCAGAAGGATTCCACGCCAAGGGGGGGGGGGGAACGGATGAGACCTACATTCCAGTAGCAAGAGTCGAGGAATGCGACCCATTCGTTGTTGGCGTTCCAGAAATTCCTGGCGGGTCAGTCCTAGGCATGTCTCAGAATAGAGACGGAGGGGACGTACCGGAAAGTGACATTGTTGACGTAGCCGTGGCCGGCGGTCGGTCCGGCCCAGACCTTGATGCGGCTGCCGTGCTGTGGGAGGTGTCAGCGGGAGGCGGTCTTTTTTTGTGGTTGGAAAAGGGGCTGGCGCACGCCGCCGTTGAGCATCCAGACATTCTCGATCACGACGTCTTCGACGAAGGACATGACACCCTTGTGTTCTCCCAGAGAACCGAGGGACTGTTATCGTGAGTGACGCGAGGTCCACCAAAAAGTGGGCGAATACGTACCTGGCCGTGTGTGCCATTGCAGTACATGTGGTTGACGTGAATGTTGGTACCGTTTGATTTTGGCGAGAAACAGTCGTCGCCGACGTCGACCCAGACGCGCTCAACCGAGACGTCCCTGACGTTGAGGGAGTTGAAAAAGTCCGTGTTCGCAGGCCGGACAGTCTGGTCTCGTGGGCGAGCAGTGCAGGAGACATCGCGGTAGGAGATGCCCTCGGCTGCGCCAACCACGTCAGTGACAATCCTCTCGCTCACGAGTAGCGTTTGGTGGAAATACTGCGTTCGATCAGCTGGTGCCAGATCGGACCATCTTTGAACTGGATCCCTTCAATCTGCACATTGGCGGCGTCTCCTACATAGAAGAGAATGGGCCGGGCATAGGTGTAATTGTTGTCCGCGGGGAGGTCAAGCTCGCCGAACTCACGCCACCAACGCTCGCCGTTGCCGTCGATGACGCCGTCGCCGTAGATTTTGAAGTTCTTTCCGCCCCATTTCCCTACCTGTTGTTAATGTAGATGACCGTCTCATGCCTCGAATCGTACTCACAAAAAAGGAGATTTGTCTGGAAGGGGTGCTTGAACGCCGTAGCTTGCCATTGAGGAACGTTGTCGGTGAACTTGACATGTGCTTAGTCTGATATCTGGTAAACCAAAAGACCAGGAGAGCCCACCAAGATCTTGCCGTCCAGACGGACGTGGATGTCGTTGAGGAAGGTCAGGTCCAGTGGCTTGCCGATGACGAAGAGCTCGTCTTTGGGCAGGTGAAGCAGTCCGCCATTGTTGGCCTGTTTAATTCCCTCCAGAAAATCATCCGAAATGTCGTCAGTATCGTGCTTAGATGGGCGTATCCTGGTCACTTTGCGACAATCGCCTTTCGTACTCCGTGCTCGATAGGGATGCTTTGCTCGGAATTCCTCGAGAGATCGAGGCACACCAGCTGGTAGCTCTATGGCAAGAGATGCATTGCTGAAGAAGGCAAGGAGTGTTACAGCAACTTTTGAAAGATGCATGATGAAATTAACACGAAACACAACTTCGTGCGTCTGGCAGTAACTTCAATACCTCCTTGCGAGACATCTTGGTGCACCAGCTTGATACTTTATACCGAGTTCACACTTTTAGATGCGGAGGACTCTAATGCATTGCTGATCTACTCTACGTTGGGAGAGATGCAGCAAATACTCCGTGAGCACTAGAGAGACCAGTTTGGAGCTCCTTACGTCTAGTCTGCGGGGCAGAAGAGAAGATGATCTAAGCATCGATACGGATGAGTAGCCTAGGCATCATGCATGTTCTCCTGTCTCTGGCCATCCACTTGTCGTTGAGCATCACATCAAGTCTTTTCTCTCCCAAGTTCAAGAGCACTCCCCCGCTGCCAAGACCAGCATGCCGATGTAACCGCAAGACGTACATGGGGGTCATTGGTGGACTCGAAAACAGCGAGAAACCCCGCCGGATGGTCCTGAAGGATCGCCCTTGCACGAGACGGCTCGGATATACAAGATCAGGTAGTATCGGCGCGCCAGGTTCAAGATGGGTCTTCTCGGCGCTCCAACCCGGATTTTGCGGGGTGCGCTGTCGGCGCGTGTTGACTACAGACTGATGATGAAAGCCTTGAACGACCCTTCGCTTTCCACCGCAATAAGGTTCATACACGACCAGTGACCTTTTGCCGACTATCGTATCGCTGTCTCTTCTCTCTAGTGCCTCCCTCTGCCTGACACGGAAAGACAGCCTACTTTGAGCCGGCCAAAGCCTGAACAGCAGACTGGAGGGCCGCCTTGTCGGCACCACGCACCCTCTCGACGAGCCCATCACCAGAGAGAACGACAGAGGGGCGACCCTTAAGGCTTTCCACCGCGACACCGGCAGGTTTGCCGTTCCGGAAGATCACAAAGGTCGGCATGGCGGAGACGTCATAGCGACTCGCAATGTTCTGAACATGGTCGACATTGACCTTGGCGAAAGCAAGCTTGCCCTCCAATGCATGATTGTCGGCCAGCTCCGAGAAGACTGGGGCGATGGCGCGGCAAGGGGGACACCAGTCGGCGTAGAAGTCGACGACAACGTTGGATGTCGAGGACAGGAGGGCGTCAAACTCGGCGGCGCTGGCGACCTTGAAGACTTTTCCGGACGTCTCGGGAATGGGAGAGCGGTCGGCGAAGACAGCCTTTGGGGGCGTGTTAGTTGATTCGAGTCACGAGGATGGACATCTCGACCAGGGCGGTTCATAGCGCACACCAAAAGGTGGATAATGATGAGTGTGGTGGACAGGACATACTCTGTAAGCTGCGAACAGCACGACCGCGAGGATGATATATGTAAGTGAGATCATACTGAGTTGCGCAGCTGGTATCGGCGAAATGCGATCTCTATATATCAGGCAGATGAGATGTAAAGCGAGGGCCTTTCCAACAGGTTGAGGCAAGGCTGGGCGACGCTCAAGATGACGATAAAAGATAAGGCTGTCGCAAGGTGGAGCTGTGAGCAGCGCCTCTTTGTCACGTGGGGAAGGTTGCGTCGGTGGACACCAAGCACCAAGATCTCGTTCGCCACCCTGGCTGAAGATGCACAGCGATCCATCCTTTCCATCCACCGCCGGATCATTCTGTGTGTCACCCTGACCAAGTCTCGGGCATTGGGCGTGCATTCTGCCACCATGCACAGCATCTGCTATAGACTTACCCTGACCGACTTACGCTGACTTACCTCGCCATGCCGAAAGATCTGCCGTCCAGGACCGACATCGCTTACCAACCTGTTGATCCGAGTGGCCCACTATGCCGTCCCCAGAGGCTTCTAGACCGTGATGGGTTTAGCGACAGCCCTGGGCGCGGGTTCCGGCCATCTCGCAATCCCCCCACACGTTCTACTCCAGACGACAACCGGCAGCATCGCGTTCAGGCCGAGACGCCTGCTGGTCAACTCATAAGGCTGGTCTCGTCGCTGCCTGGAACGTGAGTGAAGACCTTGTTGCAGCTCAAGTCCAGCCAAGGCGTGACCATGAACCTCTCTGGCGAGAAGACTGTGGCCGGTGAGATTGAGACGAATACGAGTGAACCCGGACACACCAACACCACCGCATCACCGCGTGGGAAGAAGCTGTCGACATCTTCGGACGCCGAGCCCTGCCCACCAGTGGAAGACGGACCGATCGAGAGCAATGGCCCTCCTGCGCTGCCGTTCTCCAAGGCGAGAGCAATTGTGCTCGTGGCCACCCTCGCGGGCGCCAGTTTCATGAACGTCCGTCACCCCTTTTGGCCATTGTGAGGATAGTGACTGACTCTTTCAGACCATGTCACTGCAAGCCGTCGTCATCATCTTGCCTGCTATCGGCTCTGACCTCGACATTCCCGAGCAGCGTCTGCAGTGGATCGTCTCGGCCTACTCTCTCGCCTTTGGCTGCTTCCTGCTGCTCTGGGGCCGCATCGCCGATATCTACGGCAAACGCCTGATCTTCGTGGCTGGCTCTGCCTGGGCTGCTGTCATGACACTTGCCAACGCCTTTGTCCCCAACGAGATTGCCTTCAACTTGTTCCGTGGTCTGCATGGCCTCGGCGCCGCCGCCAATGTTCCCACAGCTATCGGCATCCTCGGCACCACGTTTCCGCCTGGCAAGGCGAAGAACTACGCCTTCAGCGCCTACGCCGCCGGTGCACCCTTGGGTAGCGTCTTTGGCAACCTCATCGCAGGTTTCATAGCCCAATATGCTGACTGGAAGTGGATCTTCGGCGTCAAGGCTATACTCGCCGGCATGGTGGCCGCCGCAGGCTTTTTCGTCATCCCACCACCGCCGCCGCCCCCACCGTCGCTCGAAGGCCAACCGAGCAAGATCAAGCAGTCGGTTGATTGGATCGGAGGCGCTCTCATCACCGTCGGCATGCTGGCCCTGCTCTATGCCCTGACCGAGGGCAACGTTGTCGGTTGGGATAGGCCCTGGATCCCCGTCATCATTGTCGTATCCCTGATCATCATTGCCGTTTTTGTCTTCTGGCAGCGCCGCCTAGAAAAGAAGGGCGAAAGACCTCCGCTCATGAAGGTCTCGATTTTCAAAAACAAGCGTTTCAGCGCCGCCATGGTCATCATGGGCCTGTTCTTTGCCTCGTTCAACAACTTCCTCGTCTTTGCGACCTACTTCTTCCAGGACTATCAGGGCCTTTCGGCACTTCAGACCACCATCCGTTTCATCCCCACGGGTGTCGTGGGCATCGTCACGGCATTCGTCGTCGCGCTGCTGCTGTCCCGCGTGCCAACCTATCTCCTGCTCGTATTCGGCAACGTTTCCATGGCATTGGCCTGTGTGCTGTTCGCCATTCCGATCCCCTCGAACACGACGTACTTTGCCTTTGGGCTGCCCGCCATGATTCTGTCCGTATTCGGTGCTGACACGGCCTGGCCGTCCCTGACGCTGTTCACCTCCAAGTCCCTGCCGCAGGAAGACCAAGCCCTCGGCGGCGCGCTCATCAACTCGGTCGGCCAGATGGGCCGCGCCATTGGTCTGGCGATCAGCACGGCCGTGCAGACGGCCGTCATGGCCAAGGCGCGCGGCGTGCCTGTCATGGACGTCGGCGAGACGAAGCCCTGGGATGAACCCTCGCTGAAAGGTCTGCGGGCCGCCAACTGGATGAATTTTGGGTACGGCGTTGCGTCGCTGCTCATCGTGTTGTTTGTCTTCCGAAGCTCGGACGTTGTGGGCAGGGCGGAGCCGCCAACGGCGCGTTCCGGCGGCGAGGAGGGAATCGTGAATGAGGAAGAGACGAATGCTGAGAGGAGGAAGGCGTAGAGAAATGGCAGGATGGATGAATATTCCACCAGGCGGAGCAAATGCGACGAAACACGGGCGCCGACAAGCGACTCTTGACTTGCAAACACGATTATAATCAGCAACGTTGACGAACGATGTTCACCGAGGGGCTTGGAAAAGCAGAACAAACCATGAAGCACCGAGACGCATGACACTGAAAAGCAACACCACAAAGACAGCCATGAGCAGAATGCGGCGCCAGCCAGACGCTCGGCCAGGATTCACGTCCCTGATCAGGGACCAACCTCTATTCAGAAGGCCAGGCCTGGATAGTGGCCGTGGGGGAGCCCTCGCGCGCCCCGCAACATCCGCCATGAACCCACCCTTCGCTCGACTCCTCAACAATCACCGGTGAGGTGGCCGAGTTGGTTATGGCGCCAGGTTAAGGTCTCCTTAACAGATTTCCTGGTGGGGCAACCCGCGCGAGTTCGAGTCTCGTCCTCATCAATATTTCCTTTTTGCTGCGAGTGTAGCATGTAGGATTTGACTTTGATCATCGTGAGATTGCGTGGCGCGGGTTGCGCTGGGATGGTGATTTTTGCGCGATCCACTTTCGGCGGATGGGATTTTTATTATGGAGCTTTAGGTCTGGAGCCTCAGGTTTGAGGTTTGAGGTTTGAGGTTTGAGAGACGACTCAGGGGTATGACCAGCTGGTCGGGGACATGTATATCAATCAGCAATGGGCACCCGGCTCGTCTCATTGATGAATGAATTAACTGTCTAGATTTATGCTTTTTGATAATGATGCTGTTCCATAATAATGTTTCTAGAGACTGGCCTTCGGATTACCTATTAGTTCCTGTCGCGCCAGTGACCTCAACTGCTTCGATCCAACAGAAAAAGAAACCCCAAACTCCTTGTACGCCTTGATATACCTTTCCCTTGTCTATGCAGCGGCAACCTTGTAGCTCAATTCGATACGAGACTTGTTCAGAATCATCAAGGACAAGCTCGTCAACGTGGCGCTTGTCAGAAGCTCCAGCACCTGCAGATGAGCAAGAAGCTCCTTACTGATCCAGTTGCGCAGCTCAATGGCGTTCAACGAGTCAAGGCCATAAGCTGTCAGCGTGGACGCCGGATCCAGATCGCCGGGCTGAACCATGAGAATCGCCGAGAGCTTCTCAATGAGGCCCTTGACAATGGCCTCCGAGGCCTGGTCCTCACAGCCAGCTCGAGACACGACCTGGTGGATGGACGCCGCCTGGCCGGAGCCCTGGCTGCTCGTGCCAGCGGCCGCCAACAGGTCGGCGAACCTGGCATCGGCAGCGGGGTACGGCGGCCGGGCGCTGTCGTCAATGTGCAGGCCCGTCAGGACGAGGCCGTCGCACGACGCCGAGGCCGTGCCGCTGACGGCCGCCGTCAGCAGGGCGAGGAGCTCGGCCTCGTTGGCCGTGCTGCCCTTGAGGTTCTTGAGCACGAGCTCGCGGCGCTCCTCGTTCTCGGCGAGGTAGCCGACGTTGTCCATGGCCGGCAGCGCAATGGCCGTGCCGGCGAGGCCCTGCTGGCGTCGGTGCTGCACGAGGCCCTCGAGGAACGTGTTGGCCGCCGCGTAGGCGGCCTGGCCCTTGTTGCCGACGACGCCGGCGACGGAGGACAGGGCGATGAAGAAGTCGAGCTTGGTGTCGAGGAGCGACTTGTGGATGTTCCAGCCGCCCGAGACCTTGGACCGCATGACGGCGTCGTAGTCTTCGAACGTGGTGTTCTCGAAGAGCATGTCCTGCGCAGAGTGTGTTAGCCATATTTCTCAAAATCAGACCGGTCAAAAAAAGGGGCTCTTACTCGAAGCACCATCGTCGAATGGATGACGCCGCGGATGGGCGGCAGCGTCGCCAAGCAGTCTTGGACGAGAGAGTCCACGCTCGCTGGGTCGGTGATGTCGCAGGCCCGAACGTGAATTTTGCAGCCGAGCGACGCCAGTTCTTGCGCGAGGTCGTCCGTCTTGGCGTTGCTTCCGCTGCGGGAAACCAAGACGACGTGGCCCGCATCGTTCTGCGCCATCCACTTGGCCATGGAACGGCCGAGGCCACCTGTGCCGCCAAAGATGAGGTACGACGCATCCTTTGCGAACTGCTTCTGTTTCGTAGCGCGGTGCGTGGCCTTGACCTGCTCGTCGGCGCCTTGGGCAATGATCAGCTTGCCCGTCGTCTTGCCACCCTGGAGCAGCCTGAGGGCCTTCTCGACATCGGTGATGCCCATGACCGTGATGGGGTACATGGTATGGAGCGCCTCGCGGCCCATGGCATCCATGACGGCGTTCATGACCCGGCCCATAATCTTGGGTCGCTCCCCAGCGAGCACGGTCAGGTCCACCGAGCTGAAGAGGGCGTTGTTCTCGAAACGGCGCATCTCGAGACGCGTGTTGGACGTAATGTCACGCTTGCCAATCTCGATGAACCGGCCAAAGTGGGCAATGCAATCCCACGTCTCGCGCAGGAGCTCGCCGGCCAGGGAGTTGATGACAACATCGACACCCTCGCCCTGCGTGTCCCTGCGGATCAGGCGGGCGAAGCCAGCACTGCGGCTGTAGTAG